TGGCTACATATTTATTTTTCAAATAAATCTGTTATTTGCAATTTATTAAGTTTGATGACCTGTGCTGATGACATTCAGGAATTGTTAGACAAGGTGGTGGTCAGGTCTTAAATGGGATCATATTCCTATCATCCCTAAGAAGCCACGCTTGCTTGTGGATTTCTTTATGTGCCTCCTCCTTCTCTGCTGGCTCCCTTGCAGGCTGGAATCTTCTACCCAGTTATTATGTATACCCGGCTTCCTCTCATGGCTTGGCATCATTGGGATTGTATGCATCAATGGTAATGACACTGTCATGTCTGCAGGTCAGGAGGGCTCTGGAGAGCCAGCCATCCAGTGCGCCACGCTACATTTGAAGAGATAATATTGTTCCTGGTGAAGGTTATTCGGCTGCCAAGCAGCCCTGGTTTTAAAAACAGAACAGCTCCTCCCAGATGACAGGGCTTAACAACAACAGAATGGCAGGCAGCCTAGCTCTTCCTCCAGACAGTGGGGAGGGCTTGGTGTAGAGAGGGGTAGTAGATAACCTGAACTGCAGGGTGCATGACAGATAGGTTCAGGCTGAGGTGTGCCAAAGGCAGCACAAGCTTGGCATTTGCTGGTATATGTGGGTACGACAGTTTGTCAGATTGAACAGCTGGTAGAAGATGCCTTCTTCAAAGGCTTGTCATGAGTAACCCATGATGCTGTGATGCATGTGCATGGGATTCAGAGAAAAGCAGATACAGTTGGTAAGGAGATGCCCTCTATCAGAGTCCAAAGGCAAGATGAAACTCTTGGTCTCTGTTGTTTGTCATTGAATCTGGGCCAAATCACAACTTCTGAGCGGAGGGTGGGGCTGGGGTAGACAGGGACACATTGCTTTTCAGTGTTGCAAGGTGAAGCCTTCTCAGAGCTGAATGCTGAAGGCAGAAAAGTCTTCAAAACATGGTATTGTATGAGTCTCCCAGCTCAGATCCAGTCTACTGCTGATTGGTTCCTAGTTACCAATGTTCTATAGGCAGAGCCTAATGTGTGTGTAGTGGATGTGTCCTGACTACGTTTTTCTGTCTCTTTGCACCACTCCTTTAAATGGAGAGATTCACAGCTCTAGGCAATGCCTTTTCTATATTCCAGGTTGCCAGGATCTAGATTGCTGCTGAGAAGCATTCTTGAACAGTTGAAAGTGTGTGAATGATTAGACATGAATTGTCTTTACAGTAGAGCAGTATAGACACAACAGATCCAGAGGATGCAAATGCATGAAGTATGGGGTTAGAGGAGGTTCAAATGTGCTTCTTCTTCCCACCCATGCTTCCACACATATGTTGACACACACTATGCATATGCAAACAGACATATACATTTACCACACATACCACTCTCACACACTACAAACATATGCATGAAATGCATGGTCATGCCACACATATGTAGATAAACATGAATACCACTCACATCTTGGACCTGTGCATACCAAATACAAATGTATAAAAACGGTTTCTCTATGAATTACAGCATTTGGAGAGGAAGTGCCATCTGAGAGATGACTTAGTGGGTGAAATGTTTGCTATAATACAAACAAGAGGACCTGCGTTTTGGTCCCCACCTCCCATGTTAAAGTCAGGACCTGTCACGGGTGTTTGTAACCCCAACACTGGGGTGCAGACAAAGGCAGATCCCAGAGGCTGCTGGACAGATAGCCTAATAGAGACATGAGCATCAGGTTCAGTGAAAAGACACTATCTCAAAATCCACAAAACAAAGCAAAACAAAATGAAGGGAGAAAGATAAAGGAAGACAGCCAATAACCTCGCCCGGCTTCCACATACATATGCATGCACAGTCATAGGCACTTATAAACACATGCATACACCCCACACATACCTAACCACACACATACACATACAAAGCAAATGAATCCATTAATCAAAAACAAGGCTCCCCAAGCACTTCAAAAGCATTTTAATGTATAAGAAACAATTAAAAGTTATTTTTATCAGTACATTTCTTTCCATTAGCCAGTAAACCAAATCAGAGGAAAATAGCTTTAATTGCAAGTATCATCCATCCTTGATTGAACATTCCTTGTGCTCTATGTCCCTGCCTCTCCTCAACTCTGTGACTTTCTGTGCTGGTAACCTCCTCACCCCCATTTGCAAGCTCACAAGTCCAAGAGTAAACATGCATCCCCCAAACTAGGCTCCTATTTTCTTAACTGGTCAACCTCAGGAGGGAGTCAAATGCTGGTGGTGGTGGCGGCGGCGGTGGCGGTGGTGTGTATGTGTGCATGTGCGACTTTTTCAGTGTCCTCTGGACAAAGCAGTGACTTTACACAGGTCCTGAATTTTTTGAGATCTTGGGACTTTAGTTGCTACAGAAAAGTGGCTCCTGAATTTCTGTAAGTTAGAGTCCATTTGTTTCTCTCTCTCCAGAAGTTCCCTAGGTAATTCCCTGCTTCCTTCTCCTGATTCAGTCAGCCTCCCAGCAGCTCAAGGTGGAGAGAGCAGGAAACAGAATTCAAATTCCTCTCATGCAACACTAAATTCAGCACACACAATGTGCTTTTTAACTCCTCTCTTTCCAAGGTTTCTGAGGTAGTTATCCACAACTTGACTGATCCAGAAACTTTTCAATTCGGACCACCATAAGAGGATATACACAATATGTCAAGGTTTTGCTTCATACCACAAGCCTTGCTAAGAGGGGAGCCCAGAACCAGCATCAAGAACCCATGTCTAAGCCCAGTCAGTTAATTCCCATATTCCTCTCTCTCTCTCCCTTTCTCTAGAGATGAAAAACTCTAAGTAGAAAATTGTGACCACCTGGCACGGTTCTGACCTTTGAGCACTCTCAACTTTACTTTTAGGCAGTGATGTAGGGAAGTATGACGCCTACTATTCATTGTCGACTTGACAGGATCTAGACATGATGATCCCCCAGAGAAAAATCTCTGGGCCTATTTGTGGGGAAGTTCCTAGACTGTCTTAACTAAGGTGGGAAGACCCTCCCTAGATTTGGTGGCATCTTCCTATGGGCTGAGGTCTTGAACTGAAAAGGAAAAAGTAAGTTGAGTACTTGCATCCATCCCTTTCTGCTTCCCTATGGAGGATGCAATGAGACCAGTCAGTTCATGTTCTGCGGCCATGACTTCCCCATCATGATACCCTTGAATCATAAGCCAAAATAAACCCTCCCTCCCTTAAGTTGCTTTTGCTGGCATTTGTCACAGCAACGGGAAAAGTGACTAATTACAGGAAGAAATAGCCATTTCTAATAGCATTAACAATTGTCTAGAGAGGGGGTGCCCACAATGATATGTTGTGATTCTTCGAGGCTGATGGCAACATAGACAACATTATCATGGAAATCTCTGCCAGTGTTTTTGCCTGATTCAGCCAATTATCTTAGCAACCACCAATAGTACCTTGCTTCCTTCCCATTCCACAAGCACATTCTTAGCTCATTTTGGTTGAAAATGAAGCCCATCTGCTAGGTGGCGTTAAGACGCAGAGGTGTTCTTGTGGGATGTTTGGCATCCTCTTTTAAATGCTTGACAATATGCTACAGGTAAGAGGAGAGCACAGGACAAGCCAAACACTTGCAGAATCTTCCCCTCCCTTCCCTTCCCCTCCTCTTTCCTCCCCTCCCCTCTCTTCTCTTCCTCCTTCCCCTCTCCTCTCTTCTCCTCCTCCTCTCCCCTTTCCTCTTCTCTTCCTCTCCCCTCCTTCCCTCCCCTCCCCCTCTTCTTCCATCCCTTTCTTCTCCCCTCTCCTCTCCCCTCCTCTTTCTCTTTCCTCTCTTCCTTCCTATTCTGAGCTCTCCTCATTGATCTAAGCAGAAGAGATGGGTATGACCCCCTTGCCTAACCCAGGTTCAACATCAGGCACCTAATGATGTTGCCCCATTCTTCTCTAGCTTCATGCACAAGAGATATTTTAATGGAAAACCCCTTAGTTATCTTTTTTCTTGTTAAAGAACTATAAAATCCATTCTCTGAGACACCATGAATTGCAATCATTTAATTTTTTTTCTGTAGTTAGAACAGGAGAATGAAGGAAAGAGAAACGTGAATATTCTAAGAAAACTAGTGTATTTCCTACACTCCCTGGGGCTCTTGGCCACACATTACTGATATTTTCTTATCCTTAGGATGATGATGGGACTCCAGGTAAGGACAGAATTCCAAATGAGGATAGGATGTTAGATGAGACAGGGACTTCAGGTAAGGGTAGATTTCCTGGTGGTGGTAACTATGTAAGTGAGCTGTGAAGCTTTGGACAGGAAGGAGGCTGCACATACACCAACTGTGGATGAGAATGGGGTACTTGGTAACGATGGGGCAGCAATGGGAGATAGGATTCTAGTTAAGGGTAGACCTGCAAGTGAGAGTGGAATTCCAAATGAGAACAGAACTTCTGGTGAGGATTCAACTACAGGGATGAGGGACTGCAAGGGAAGATGGTATTCCACTGGAGCATGAGACTCGGGGTGAGTATAGGACTCTGCATGAGTTTGGTCCTGAAGGTGAAGATGGATGCAGATTAGGGAGGATCCAAGGTGACACTACCATGAAGATTGCATAAATTTGGTTCTATAGGTGGAGTGGACTGATGGTCAGGGTCGATTGCAGGTGATTCTGGTACTGTCTGAACGATGGGATTACAGGTGGGCACAAGGCTGTGGGTGAGAATAAACACCTGTGTGAGTTTGGCCCTGAAGGTGAAGATGGACTTCAGATGAGGACTACACTATGGGTAAGGACTCCAAACTTCAGGTGATGATAGCTTCCTAGTAACTGTGGGAATATGGAGAGTGTGGCGCTACAGGTGAGGATGGAACTATGGGTAAGGATGTAACTGTAGAAGAAGATGGGTCTGCTGAAGATGGGAACAGAATCTCCTATATTGGGCAAGATCAGCCAGTTCCCTCTCCATGGCTACAAGAAAACAGAGAAAGACATTCCCACCCCCATATACAATGAGTGAGGACCCCTCTGCAAGAGAAGTGGGGTTGCTTACTTAGATTGTCTTCATCCTCCGTGTTTGTGGTGCCAGGACTTAGGTACTTGAAGGGAGCGAGGAAGGTTGACAATATGCTTACTTTGTCTGGAAAGATAAAGAAGAGGAAATGCACTTTTGACATCAAGTTTCAGAAAAACCCAATGCTTTCGTATGTTCTTTTTTTTTTTTTTTTTTTTTTTTTGGTTTTTCGAGACAGGGTTTCTCTGTGTAGCTTTGCGCCTTTCCTGGAACTCACTTGGTAGCCCAGGCTGGCCTCGAACTCACAGAGATCCGCCTGGCTCTGCCTCCCGAGTGCTGGGATTAAAGGCGTGCGCCACCACCGCCCGGCTTCGTATGTTCTTATTAGCAAAAGGTTGGACAAGGGAGGTGGAAAGATCATCATGGCTGCAGACACTTCATTCTGGCTCCATCTTTTATTGAATTTCTGACAGCATTTTATCAAATTCCTCTCTCCATTCATTCAAAAACCTTATGATTTCCATCTTTCTTCTCTTATTTATTTAATTTTGGCATCTACTTTGCTCTTGTTCCACATGCTTGAAAACTTTAATTGTCTTCAGGATAATATCCTTTCATCTGCTTATAGGCGGGTAGGCTAACACCTATCAAGGAAATTTTTAGAGTGAAAGTTGAGTAAAACAATTCCAGAATTAAGAGAGAATTGTCCCCCAAAAGACAAAGATTCTCCCAACTCCCACACTTGTGGAACATTTGCTCTGAGCTCTTGAACTGTATACATGAAGTAAAAAATTAGAAGCCGAGAAACACACACACACACACACACACACACACACACACACACACACACACACGCTCATTGAATTCATAGTCATTTCACTTAGTGGGTGTATTAGTAGGAGTACTAGAGGTGAGAATTAGGCCAGAGTCAGGTAGAGGGCCTGAACCATCCTAGGGATGGTCAAATGTCATTGACATTGGTGGAATTCCAGGGACCCAGGAACAGCTGGCTTTCTGCACCCCTCATGTCGTGGTTAATGTGTATTTTGTTCTGTAGCCCAGGTTGGCCTTGAACTTGATATCTCCCTATCTCAGCTTCCCAGAGACTAGGATTACTGGTGTACACCCACATGCCCAGATGGCAATTTCTTTCTTAAACAGAGAATTGAAGAAATGCTAGGTGGGAAGTGCTATTGGGAAACACATTTTAAAATGGGTAATTAAAAGAATCAAAGTTCCTTATTTAGAAGTTTCCACTGAACAGAATATAGTACAGATGCTGCCAGTACCTGTTCACACAGCAAGTACTCTCTACTGCCAGAGACTCAGTGCAAGGGACTCTCAGAATCCACACTCTCCTTGTGTCTGCAAAACCCTCTCTGTTTTGCTATGGACCCGGACCACAGATGGAAGTGCTACCATTACTTGTCTGTTGTGGTACAGCATTAGAGGCATTTCTGATCTCCTCTTAAGTTGCTGGCCGTGAAGGACTTTGTTGCTGTGCTGTGCAGGGCCCTTTCCTTCTCCTCTACAGCCTTTCCCACTCGAGGGCAGGATGATTTAGTGGGGTCACCATGTTCAACACTGCCTCTTGTCTCTTCCTGTTATTACAAAGGAGTCCTGCCTGTTCCAGTATTCCCATTTGCACTTATACCTTGATCTAAGTGCAGATACCCATGAAAATTCTCACTGGAAGTTTTAACTGCCCTTAGCCTTCAGGCAACCAGACCCAGGCTGGAACTTGCTCTTTTCTTCTAAGGCTGAGCCTATTTCCTTTTTAGACAAGCTTTCTAGAGGCCAGGGGAGATCACATTGAAATTCATCTCAGAGCCTGTTAACAGCTGTTGTTTCCAGTAGAGACAGGCACCAATATAGTGTTCACACAAAGAGAACAATAAATAACTCTAATATGAAGTGCCTGCTCCTCCTTCATTCTGCCAAACACGAAGCATCAATGTAGCGAAGGCTTTGCTCCCTCCGAGCTCTCATGGCCCGAGCTCATTTACTCCAACAGAATGAAATACCTTACTTGAGTTATAATTTCATTAAGTGAGTCCAATAACGTTGCACAAAGACTGTGAAGCTCAAATGATTTTGTCTGGAGGATCTTGAAATGAAATTATAATTTTTTAATAAAGCAGGAACACTAGCAAAACCCCCACAAAATATACCAAACTACTTCACAGCAAAACTGTGAAATATATAAAGACTATTTTAGATCCATCCAAGTCTTCACTTTTTGTCATTGCTGTTTTTTCCCCATGTCTATCAAACAAAAACAGTGCATCCAGTTAAAACCGAATTTGAGACGAACAATGTTTTTCAGTGTACCTATATTCTCCATATTGTGTGAGGCAAGTGTAAACTCAGACAAGTACTTATTGTTTATCTGAAGTTCGTGTTTAAGGCAAAGGGTGTGGATAGACATTTCTCTACGGAAGATATTCTACTGGCCAATGAGCACATAATGATTAATGTCAGCAGTTATTAAGGAAGTGCAATGCAAGGAAAACCACAATGAAACACCACACCACACCCATAGGATAGCTATTGTAAACCAGACAGGAAATAGAGTGATGGTAAGGTGTAGGGAAAGTGCAAACCTTGAGCTCCATTGATGATGACAGGAAGCAGTGTGTTCCTGTGGATATAGCAATCCCTCCCATAGGTCGATACCTTGAAGAACTGAAAGTTTCACTTCACAGTAGCCTAGAGACAGAGGTTAAGTGTCCACTCTCAGATGAATGAATAAACAAAAATGTGGTAAACACTCCTCATGGAATATTATTCAGCATTCAAAAGAAACAAACCATGCAATTTGCCTCTATGTGGTTGAAATTATGGGCTCTATAGTAAAGGACAAATGCTATATGATCTCATTTATATGCACAGTCTGAAAAGTCTAAGGCACTGGAGATGCCAGTCAAAGAACATAAAGCTTTCACCTATGAGAGGACAAAGTTCTGATTCCCCAATGAACAGTATTATGACTATAGGTAACAGAAATGCATTGAACACTTGCAGTTTGATGAGAACAGATTTTATGTCCTTAGTACACATACACACACACACACACACACACACACACACACACACACAGAGTCACACACACTACACACATACACACTTACACACACGTAATGGTAACTATGAGTGGTGATGGTTATATTAACCTAATTATGATAATTATACAATGTATACGTCTACTAAATTATAACATGATACACTTTAAATATATATGATTTCATGAGTCAATTAAATATTTTTAAATTAAAATAAATCATCGCCACATCAAAGACAGTAAAACTTAGCTAAATGTCTTATATTTATTTTTAAAAATTAATAATTAATTAATTAATGTGTATGAGAGTTTTCCTTGTATGTATGTGCATCGCATGCCTGCCAGGTGCCCTTGGAGATCAAGAGTATTGAATCCCCTGGAACTTGAATTATGGATGATTGTGCCACATCATGTGGATGCTGGGAATTGAACCTGGGTCCTCTACAAGAGCAGTAAATGCTCTCAACCACTGAGTCGTTGCTTCATCCCTCAAACAGCCTACATTTTACCCAGTAGTCTTAATGTCTTACGAAGTTTTATTTTCTCTGGTAGATTTTATATCTCAAGGGCCAGCTTTTATAAACCAAATGAAGGCAACCAAATAAATCAGGGAACTCAGACATGCACAACTAAAGAGCCAATTATTATCTGCTACCAGCATTGCTTTACACAAGAGAAATATCTTCATTCCAGAAATAATGATTTTTTAAGACAGAACTTAACACATCATTTTAATATTCTCAGAAAAGGGTGAACAATTACATTTTCAATATACAGGAAAACTAGAGCAAAGTTATTTGATGTCAGTGCCTTTCCTTATCACCTCCTGGATTCCTCTTGTCTATTTGACATCATATTCAACGGGTTCAGTGTGAATGGGACTTTAGTACTCAACTGATGCTCATTTCACAAGTTTCACAGACTTCTTTTGAAAAGCAGATTTCATACAGATTACTAATGAAAGATGGAGGCCATATTTCACTCAACCCAATTCTAGGCATTTTGGGTCTATGAAGAATTCTTTACATTTCTAGTTGCCTCTTCAAACTCTGAATGGTTGGTGATGGGCCAAGTGCCTCTCCAAGGAATGGCCTGTAAGGGCACACTGTTTGATGTGAGCCGGTTGAAAACTGATCTGGAGAGCATGCAGCAGGCCTGGCATGGCCCTAGAGTGGAAGAGAAGACTGGATTTCACCAAAGGTTGTCTCACAATTAGCCAACATGTACTTTAAATGCATTTCTTGAAATGTTTTAGGACATTTGTATTGTAAACCATATTACTTGTAGAACAAATAGCTTTGCTGTTATTGAACCAATTGTATATTTTTTGGGAACATGTGGGGAAATGTTTTCAGTGTATGGAAGGACTTGTCTGGAACCTGTTGACATGAGAGAGCTGGAACTGGCAAGACAGAGGACTGAAGATGTCATGAGCATTATACTAATTTGGAAAACCGCTGTGCTGACATAGGGCTGGAAGATATTCTTACTGGAATAACTAACTTGTGGCTATTTTTAAATCTTTCTCAACTTGCTTAGAACTTAAAACATCTCAATAGATTAATAGATTATGTATTGTTTCTTGTCAACATTAATCTTTGAAAATTTAATTCACGTATACTGGAGTGTCCCTGTATTTTGCCAATATTTTGGGGTATTATCTTTGCATGTAACTGTAGCTTATCTTTCATGAAAAAGACATGTGAACAGACTAGCAAATTTTCATTTGGTAGCAGGGCTTTTTGATTCCTCTAACACCCCTTCCCAGAAGAACACTATCTATAAAATACTGAACATTAAAAAGCATGATTGAAATATTTATACTAACATAGTTCTTTGCCAAACCAAAATATCTATATGTATTGAAGGCACTTTGTTAGGACAGGAGTTATATACAGTAAGCAATGGCCTGATTTTCTTCTCTGGTGTACTTATTCGTGGTAAAGAAACAAAGACATTGGCTCTACAGCTAAATGACACACCTGGGCGAAGCCACAGTGATGTGAACTTGCCCACATTCCTATCTAGGGGCTATGTCTGTTTAAGGAACTCTTTATTCCATCCC